AGCTCCAGCGATGCACCTCCTCCAGTAGAGACATGCGACATGCGAGGCGCCTCACCGCTCAATTCCGCGGCGCTTGCACTGTCACCACCGCCAATGATGCTCAAAAGCCCGTGGTGCTGCGTCCCGTCGCCCATAGCCTTCGCAATAGCAAAAGTGCCCTTCGAGTACGGTGTCATCTCAAATACACCCATCGGCCCATTCCAAATCGCACTCTTGCACTTCGCAATAGTATCCACGTACTTTGCGATGGTCTTGGGGCCGATGTCAAGTGCCATGTAGCCATCGGGGATGTCCACGCCCTCTGTCACCAGAGGTGAGTCCACAGCCTTGAATTCCTTGTTGCACACGTGATCAAGGGGCAGAAGTAGCTCAACCTTGCGATCCTCAGCCTTCTTCAGCAATGAACGTGCCAGGTCCAGTTTGTCTTCTTCGCACATCGAGATACCGATCTTGTGGCCTTGCGCCTTCAGGAAGGTGTATGCCATGGCGCCACCAATGATGAGGTAGTCAATGCGCTGCAGCATATTGTCCAGGAGCTGAATCTTGTCACTTACCTTAGCACCACCAACAATCGCCACCAGGGGACGTGTTGGATTGCCCAGGACCTTGGCAAAGTATTCAATCTCCTTTTCCATGAGATAACCAGCATAACCGTGACCAAGGACCTTTGGGATACCTGTCATTGTTGCACTCTCGCGATGTGCTGTGCCAAATGCATCGCTGACGTATATATCACCGTAGGATGCCAACACGCGAGCCATTGCAATGCGCTCATCTTCCTTTTTGCTGCCCTCCTCAGTGTAAAAGCGCACGTTCTCCAGGAGCGTAACAGAACCGGGGGCCATCTTCTCCACTTCTGCAGCCGCGTTGAGGCAGTCAGCAACAAACGTCACGGGGGAGCCAAGTAGCTCGCCGAGGCGCTCCGCCACGGGTTTCAGTGTAGCCGCTGCTTCGTAGCCGGGCACTCCGCTCCCTCCAGATGCCGCAGCCGTCATCGACACACCCTTTGGGCGGCCAAGATGACTCATCAGCACACAGCTGCCACCCTCCTTCAGCACCTTCTGGATCGTCGGCAGAGCCGAGCGGATGCGGTAGTCATTCGTGATCTTCCCATCCTTCACAGGCACGTTGAAGTCCACCCGGATGAGCACCTTTTTGCCCTTCATGTCCACGTGTTCAAGACTCTTCTTTTCCTTCAGTGTCATCTTTGGTTTATTTGCTTTTTTCTTAATAAAATCGGTTTATTTTCTCTTTTTTTTATTGTTCGGAAGATTGTTTAGATGTTGTTAAGTTTGAATTTCTTGTTGTTTGGTTGATAACTAATAGTTGTGCTTCTATAACACAAAAAAAAACCGCAAAAAAAATAAAAAAGAAAGACAGAACAAGAAAAAAAAAAGAGAAAAACAGGAAGGGTAAGGGGGAAAAGACACAAGGGAAAAGGAAATTCCCGCCACGAGTAGCCCTAGAACGACGAACAAAGCGACACATTCAACCTGAAAGAAAATAAAGAACAAAAAAAAAAATAGTGCGAACACTCTTTTGACGTAGTGCAAACCACACGGTCATCCATTTATACTACTCCTTATCATCGAGTACAGCAACACCAGGAAGAGTCTTGCCCTCCAGTAGCTCCAGCGATGCACCTCCTCCAGTAGAGACATGCGACATGCGAGGCGCCTCACCGCTCAATTCCGCGGCGCTTGCACTGTCACCACCGCCAAT